AANNCAAATCAATTTAAGTTATTATTAGTTTATGTCGTGCACGAACAGACCTTCGAAGAGAAAAACCATGGAACCCATTTTTTTGGTTGAAGCAATTTAAGTTATTATTAGTTTATGTCGTCCTTGTTCTTATTTTTTGGTTAAATCGATTTCAATTGTTATAAAGTTTTTGATCAGTCTGTGGACACAACATAATATGTGATTTTCTCCATTCGAACTTATATGCAAAACTTGTGGTATGACATGTAGATTTACTTTTAGTTTGGAAATACAAACGCACTTATGGGTAACGTTGTTGATTCCCAGCTAAAGTCTTCAGACGACGAGCCCCTGCCATTTGTCGCTGTCGGTGGTGAAACCTCGAATCCCACCTTACAGAATGTTACCCTGCGGGCCGTCCCGGAGCAAGATGCTGTTCCTGCCTTGGACTCCAAGCCCAATTTTGCTGTCGTCATTGAGCTGAGGGCCCCACCCCTTTCACACCAGGGCCCACAAGCACGTGCCCCCATCGACCTAGCTATGGTGCTGGATGTCAGCGGTAGTATGAAAGGGCCGAAGCTGGACCTTGTAAAGCGGGCCGCGGGCTTTGTTGTGGATAACCTCGGCCCGTCTGATCGGCTCTCCTTAGTTTGTTTCTCCACTTCTGCTCGTATAGTCCTCCCTCTGCACGAAACGACAGAGGTGGGACGGGCCAATGCCAAACAGGCTGTCAACTCCCTTTTCTCTGACAACGGCAACACGAACATCGCGGATGGCCTCACAAAGGGGCTTCAGGTTCTTGAAGAGAGGAGCCATCGTAATCCTGTGGCAAGCATCATGTTCTTGTCTGATGGGAAGGACAATTACTCCCCAAGGATTCCGATGGCCCAGCCCTACCTTCATTTGTTGCCCCCATCCATGCGTCCCGGGGTTGAAAAGAAGCCCTTCTCCATTCCCATCCACACGTTCGGCTTCGGCTCAGACCACGACCCGCTCGCAATGCACGCCATCGCCACCCTATCAGGCGGAACTTTCTCGTTCATCGAGTCGTACGAAATGGTGCAAGACGCGTTCGCAAAGTGCATCGGCGGCCTCTTGAGCGTCGTGGTTCGCGACCTCCGCCTGACGCTGAGGTCAGCGTCCCATGGCGTGCGCATCAACTCGATTCCTTCCGGAAGCTACGCGAGCGAGATATCCGGCCTCCAGGGCTCTCGTGGGTCGATCACCGTAGGAGACCTTTACGCGGACGAGGAAAAAGATTTCCTGATTGACATATCCGTCCCCGCGTACGCCTTCAGCGTCGAAGAGGAAGAAAACGAGAACGAAAGGCGGACCCCGCTCGTGGACGTGACGTGCTCGTACAAGGACGTGGGGTCGAACGAGAGGGTAGAAATGGAGTCTGCGGAGATAAAGCGCCCGGGTTTTGTGGCGCCTGCGGATGTGAAGGTGAAACTGGAAGTCGACCGGCAGATGAATCGGCTGCATGCTGCCGAGGGTTTGGCGGAGGCCCAACGGGCGGCCGAGAAGGGGAATCTCAAAGAGGCGCGCGCGATTCTGTCGAGCACGAGGTCGACTGTTTCGGCCTCGGCGTCGGGCCAGGCGGGAGACGGGCTGTCGCTGCAGCTTGAGGCGGAGATGAGAGAGACTGAGGAGAAAATGGGGTGTAAGAGGACATACGAGCAGGTGGGCCGGGCCTATGCTCTGTCGAGCATGAGTGCGCACTCCAATCAGAGGGCCTCTACCAGGCGCCGGGCGGAGTCTGGGGATGCTTATGTTACCCCTAATATGGCTAATATGGTCAGCAAGTCTCATCAGGTTATCAAGATTGAAGATGTTAAGGAGGAACAAGATTAGACTTTCTTTTTCTTTTCTCATTATGGATATTTGCACAGGTTATGCTCCGGACATTATTTATCTATCTATTTGCCTTTTCTTTTGGTAAGCGTCCTTTTATTCGGGTTTGAAAACTTATTTCCCGTTTGTTTAAGGAGTTCCAACATTGTTTTTCTTCTGTGGCAGTTAGTGGTAAAAGATGTTTCTTCTATAATTATTGCATCTTAATATCTACTGCTAATTAGCTGAATATTTGAGACAATTTTTCGTATGGGACTTGAACGTATTAGATTCTGAAACAATGGAAATGACTACTATATGTATATAAATGATTTGAGGCAGTTTGGCTATCTGGAGAGTTCTCAATTACGTGCCTTTGAGCATGTTGTCATGCTTTGCCAAGAAAAAAGATAAATTAATGACTTATTCTTACTTAGAAAACAGTACAATTTTTCTAGTAAATGGTTTAGGAAATTGTATCTCTACTAATTAATTCTGGAAAGTTCCAAATGAGTAAGCAATTTCAACAACCCCTTCTGTTCTCTTCATTTGGATAAAATTTCGAGCGCGTACTTAATGAGTTCATTTGGAGATGAACAGAAGAAATAGCATTGTTTGATGATGATGCCATTTCTATTTGTTACACCCGTTATGATAAGCCCAACTCTGATACCATATTAGTTTTTTTATTATTTTATTTTTAAAATATACTGATAGGAAATGGAAAATAGTGAAGCAACTTCACTTTATAGATCAATATATGTACTCTTGCAAGCTATCTATTCAGACTTTGGTAAAGTATTTACGCAATAACTTGGATTCATGGTCAATAATTCCGACCTTGATCTTGATTCAGAGTCGACCTAGCTAGCTCACTGTGGGGAGGTTCCCGGCGTAAAGCTCGCTGATGGTCAAGTTAGTTTTCCAGTGTAGAAAGATAATATGCCAAACGTAATAAATTGATAATAATGTGGTGAAAGAACATTCATATTGTAATTCAATAATCAGGTATGAGAAATAATTAATGTTTTTTCTTTTATTAATCAACACGATCACCTTACATGGAGGAATTAAAAATTGAAACAGACACATACATATTTATCAAACGAATGAAAGCATAATTTCCATGACGTGGCGCGGCTTAAATCTTGTTGAGGGTCAACAGCTTCCTGCCACCTGGCCCACCCCGACAATGTTGTTCCCGCTCACAAGGCCGGTGGTAGGGATTGGCCGGTGTACTTTTGGGAGGTGAACCGGGGATTCGACCATTCCCCATAGCCGGGTAGGTTATGTATTTAGATTTAGCCTCAGCCGGTGATGAAAGGAAAACGGCCGCAGCAAGCATCACGGCCAAGTACACTATAGTTGCAAACCTTGCCATGCTTGCTACGCCCGTTTGTCCTTTATCTTTTTATGTTTCGTTTCTTATTTATTTTTGATCGTGTTGCTTTTCGTTAGTCTATTTTCTGGGATTATATAGTGCCTAGGAGTACTAGAATCATTTGCGTGAAATTTGTATGTCCCTCGATATTTTTAGTTAATTTGGTTATTTTTAGTTGACAAGTTTGGGGATGACCATTTAATTTGTCTCTTGATCATAGAATTTGCCAAGGCTCTGTCAACTGTGTCCGTTTGTTTAATTAGCGGACCTCCGACGTTGTAGGTGACAAAAAAAAAAGTTGTTAAATTGTTGGAAAAATATATCTTGTTTTTTAGGAATGGAGCATAATTAAACTTGAGTTGTAGGGGACTAACTCGATTTTAGAAAGCAATATTAATTGGGCTAACTCGATTTAAGAATGCAATATCAAATTTTTAAACAAAATTTATTTATTTTATCGAGTTTGAAAATAACTAGTACGAATCCCGTGTGATGCGCGAATAAAAAATATTCTTTAATATTTATAAATTAAAAACTTTCATTTAATAATATTTATAAATTAAAAATATGAAATCAATATGTAATACAACTAACCTATATTAATTTGTTGTAAATGTTATATGAAATATAAATTGTGCAAAATTACATTTAGGACAAAACAAACCCTCGAACCGTGACACTCCTTCACGCCGGTCATGCATCATGGTCATAATTTGTTTCCTTATATGATCCACCATGGCTACAATAGGCATATATCGTGCCGGCTTTACCCAACTATTCCAACATTCCGCTTGATTGTTATTGATGATACCCCATCGGTCTCCGAGAAATAAGGAGTTTGCCCAACATTGTGGTTTAGACTCCAAAATGAATTCTCTAGCAAGAGGCATAGACGTCAATATATTATTAATATGCAAATCAAAATCTTGCCTTCTAGGAGCATATGCGGCTTTCTTGAAAACCGATGACCAATGTTTCTTATTGTGAAGTGGGTAGCTCCTCAAAACCTAAAAAAAAATGTCATGTGCATGTTAGTATTAATAAATATATGCCATGATTTATATGCATGTCAAGATATATAAATGTATGTCACTTATATTATGAATTTACTAAATATAAAGGAATTTACCTGCTTCTTAAAGTTGTCGACCAAGTGTCTCAAACAATAAGCATGATGACTCCCGGGAAAAACCATAGGGATGGCTTTAAGTAGCCCACTATGTCGGTCCGAAAAAAATGTGAAGCTTCTAAACACGGGTAAGCCCGAGGAAAGAAAAGCATTATTCAACTTCAAGCAAAACCACTCCCAATTCTCATCGGTCTCACCATCAACCACAGAAAATGCAATCGTGAACAAATCATCGTTGGCATCCTTACTCACGGCACTAAGCAAGCAACCTTTGTACTTATTTTTTATGTGAGTGCCATCCAAAAATATCAACGGTCGACATCCGCTTAAAAAACCAACAAGGCACGCATTAAAGCAAATGAATAGTCGGAGAAATTTATTCTCGACGGGGTCGATCTCACAATCGGCAATGCTTCCCGGGTTTGTGTGACGCACCGCATTACAATACCACCCCAATCTCTCATAAGAGCCCCGGTCTACTCCATGAATCTCATGCATGGCAATTTCCTTCCCCATCCATGCCTTTTTGTAGTTCAAGTCCAAGCCGTAGTCCCTATGAAGGTCTTTTATTATCGTGCAAGGCTTGTATGATGGTTGATCTCTCAATTTCTCCTTTATTATGTTTGAGACCCAATTAGAGTCGGCCTTCGGATGCCCCCTTGTGCGAAGATTGCCCACTCCGCAAGTGTGGACTAGATTGCAATTCCGGATGGCAAACAAATTATCCGCTTTGTGTCTCGATGCATATATTCTCCACTTACATCCCTCGTCGCTACAACAAACAATGACCTTCATGCTATCATTTTTACGATATTTGAAAGACCGCCTATTAGCAACCGCGTAGTTTTTAACGCGCTTTCGAAAATCATCCGTGCTAATGAAAACTTGTCCTTCCCCTTTGATGCAATTTCTCCACGACTCAATCGAATTATCGTCCAATGGAAGCTCCGATTCTCCCTCCGATAAATCATCATACGGTATAATATCCCTACATTCGTAAACATAAATAATGGAACGTTACTTAAAATAACATAACAAGGATATCATACAACCATACCATGTTTCAATAATAAATTCATTAATATTATAGAAGCGCCATTACCTACTCATGTTCATCGGGAAGGATGGAACCCCATGATCCGTTCTTTGATTTTTTTCATTGGCAACTATCTCTATAATATTTTCTTTCCAACACAAATGGAATCGAACCATGTTTTTCACATCCTCATCGTCCGCCAAGCTAACTTGCTTTTTACCAATTGGCGCAATATAACATAACTTCACGGATTCCACATTCACATTTGGCCACCTCTTACCAATGACGGTGTACATTTGGTCAAGAGTTGATTCATGGTTCATAGAGAACACAAAATATTCATTGTTGTAGGTACAACTTGCTAGTATATCAATTTGTCCACCTTCCATTGTATCTAACAAAAATTGAATAAAACAAATAACATGTTACACTTTCCCAGCAGCAGTGGTATTATTTAGTCATTCCAGTGGTACTAGAGTTTCAAAAAGTGGTACCAATAGCATGCATAATGGTACAAGAATCATAGTCACCTTAGTTTTTGTTTCAAGGTCATTGATACACAACATAACTAACTATCACGTCAATTTCGTATGTATGAACAAGAGAAAATAGATTAAGGACAACAATACACAAAATTCAAAAAAATTAGGGCAAATATACAAAATTGAACCCTTTCCAAATTAACTAAAAAATTATGAATACAAGACTTTGTTTGGACTCCACATTCAACATATAAATACACACATACACAATACTTCAAATTTCGCCCGGAAATCGCCCCAATATTGCCGGAAAAAAAAAAAAAAAAAAAATTAACCTTCAATATGTAAAAATATTGGAACCGGGTTCCCGTCAACTCTTCAAGTTCTTGTCACCACCGTGCCTTTCGCCGGATTTACGATCGCCGGAGACCAAAATTAGCAAGGAAAAAAAAAAACTGAAAATCGGGAGTGAAAATCGGGAGTGAAATAGGGAGTGAAAAGGAATGAGGGAGTGGATTGTGGAAGAAGATTAGAACTAATATAATAATTGGATAAAATAAGTTGGTAGATGGTGGTGTGATGTGTCCCTTTTATTTATCATTTTTTTTAAACATAGGGAGTTTATTGTAAGATATTTAGTGTAATAGGGAGTGAAAAGGAATTTTTTTTGTGTGGGGACTGAAATGGAATATGAAAAAGGGTTTAGGTACTTTGTAGGAAAAGCCCCAAAAAAAAAAGATAAATATTTATGTATATATATGTGAACCAACGTTCAAGTCTTCTAACAAGTCAATGTTAATGCCTACATATTCTTCTCTGAGGTATCACAAACCTCTAATCTACTTACGATTGATCAAATGAAAATTTCAGTTCCTCAATTCACGCAAAAGTTTTGCTAGTTCTCAGTCGTACCTAGTTTCTTTCCCTTTAACCTTCTGATGGAGGTCGCCAACAATTCATTTACCAAGCTCCCGGACGACATCGTTTGCGAAATCCTCAAGAGGCTTCCTGTTAAACCCCTTTCGAAATTCAAGTGCGTTTGCAGATCATGGCTGTCCTTGATCTCCAGCCGACGATTCATCAAAACCCACCTCATGAATTCAATAAAAGACCCAAATTCCACTCACCACAGGATTATCCTGCACTCGCGTGGCCGTTTCAAGCACATTTCAGCCCGATCCCTGTTGTCCGAGTCCGTTATTGATTGCCTTGACGTCGATTTCTCGATTCATCATTCACCGAGTAACGTAATCTGGGTCGTGGGCTCTTGCGATGGTCTGCTTTGTCTCGCCATAAACAAAAAAGACTTGATTTTGTGGAACCCAACCATGGGAGTTTCCAAACAACTCCCCGATTTCGGTGTGGAAATAATCTATCGCAGTTATTTTGCCTATGGGTTTGGTTATGACAAGTCAAACGACGATTACAAGGTAGTCGGCTTTTTCAAAGGTAGTTGGGATTTATCTGAGGTGGTAGCGAAAGTCTACAGTATGAAGACCAATAAATGGAAAGCTATCGAGGGTTTTAAGGGTCGTTGGCTGATGGATGATCCGGCCACCTTTGCTGATGGGAAACTTTATTGGATTGCGAATTCTGATCCGGAGGAATGTGGATGGAACATTGTTTTTCTTGATTTGTCAACTGAGGAGTATGGAGTTTTGGAGATGCCGAGTTATGTGAAAAGTGGGTTTTATTCGAGGCTGGGGGTTTCTGAAGGGAGGCTTTTCGTGATGTGCAGCCACACGAATCGTGCAGATGTTTGGATTATGGATGATTATGTGAATGGAAATCTGAAGTGGGTGAATGTGGTTACAATACCATATGTTGATGATCTTTTGAGGTATCACTATAATAAGGTGTTGTTCGTGCTCGAGAATGGGGAAGTCATACTTATTTGTGGTTCGAAGCTCGTGGTTTTTGATTCAAAGGATTGCTCTTTCAGGTACCCAGAGATTAGAAATTGGAGCGTAATTTTTGCGGCCAGCAATTATTTTGAAAGTCTAGTTTCTCCATTAGGCAATGGTGAATAATATGCTAGTTATAGTCTGTAAAGATGTGTTACTTAGTTATGTTGGTATTTGTCTACTATGATGTGTTATGTGTTTCTTATAATGGTGAAGTTCTGTTTGCTTTGTGTGTATAATATGTTATGATATTTTCAATATGAGGCTTGCCTTGGTTATGTCCATAGTCTATTTGCTGCACCTTTTTTTTATTTATTTATTGTACAATCTGCTCGTGCAAAAATGAGAACTGTAACAAGGGCGCACATCACAAGAAAGATTGTTCATTCTTTCTCCAGAATGTTTGTAGCTGAACTGGTTACCTTTCACTTTTATAGAACCTTAACGAAACCATTACTTGGCAAAATGACAGTAAAGTATCTGAAACTACTATGTGATTAATGGTTATAATGTGAAGCTATTGTGCCCTGATCATCTACGAATTTGTGTTCACCGATAAAACTTCAAATGAGTGGTTGTTCGCCATTGTTTCCCACTTGTGATTAGGTTCGACCATTTTTTCTTTTAAGCGTTGGCATAAACCCGTAGTATGTAGATTCATTGAGTCGCCATATGAATATAGATAACAGCATGCTCGTCTTGCGAAAGATGCTGAATCCTTTCCTTTTTTTTTTTTTTAATCAATGTAAGTATGCTTTTGATAATTGTTGTCTAGTATTGTTCAACCGGGAAATGTTCACATGCCCACGGTGGGCACATGTTAATATGTCCACCGACTTATGTGCCATGCACACATTGGTGATGTATTTTTTTAACATATTGACATTACCAATGTGTGCATGCCATATCAGCGGTGGGCTTATTAACGCCCACCGTGGGCATGTGAGCATTCATCTAGTCTTTCATTTTATATTTTTTTAATTTCGCTATTTCTCGCTATAAAAATTCCTGAAATCGCCTTCCTGCAGCAAGTAAAAAAAGAGAGAGAGAATTCTAATTCAAAGCAACTTTACAATAAATGAACGATAAGAAGTTAAAAAAACAATCCATGTAGTCAAAGTTAATATAATTCAACAAGCCACATCACCTCAATCCAAGAGCGAAACAATAGCTAGGCAGTTACTCGTCATATTCGTCAGCTTCTCAGCCAAGCTCGTGAACGGGGACTCGTCTCCAAACTGTGTCAGCCCATTAGAATCTCCGACATTGGTTATAACGGCACTTAGCATGCTTTTCATAGTGCCTGTGTCCCTTCTCGGGAAAGCTTCAATTGCATTCTCGAAATTGTAAACCGCGTCATCATAACTGTTCCTATAGTCCCTGATCACCGAGCCCATCTCGTTCGGGCCCCTGGCTCATTCTTCGCCAGGGAAAGCCCAATCCTCGCCAGGGCAAGCCCGGCCCGTATAGAAACTTCTACTATAGTGGGGACATCGCAGTTGTCCCCATGCAAGCGTGGGACCACGGTGGCCAGGTAGAGTTCTGGGTGATATGTTTTCTTCATAGGATTCAAGGTGATATGTGTGTTCCTATTAACCCAATTTCGGGACCTTTTTAATATTTTATAGTCTTGATAGATGTTTCCACTCGATGGACATATGTGTTTATTATCCACTAGTTCCAAATCTCCTTGCTAAAATTATTTAATTAACAGCTAAATTTCCTGATTATCAAATTAAAACCATTGGAATAGATAATGCCGACGAATTTACATCGAAAGCTTTTGATGATTACTGTATGTCACTGGGCATCAAAGTGGAGCATTTGGTACCTTATGTCTACACACAAAATGGTCGAGCTGAATCACTCATTAAGAGCACATCAAATTAATTGCTAGACTATTATTACAAAATTCCAACTTACCAATTTCATGTTGAGGACATGCAATTTTACATGTTGTTGCCCTAATTCAAATCCGACCTACTGCATATCATGATTACTCCCCTATACAATAGTGCGTGGTAAAGAACTTAACATTTTCCATTTGCGAGTGTTTGGTTGTGCAGTCTATGTTCGTATATCACCACCACAACATACATCTATGGGCCCTCATGGAAAGCTAGATATATATATTGGCTATGAATCTCTATCTATTCTCAAATACCTAGAGCCATGACTGGGGATCAATTTACAGCTAGGTACGCTGATTGCATATTCGATGAAGAGAATTTTTCGACATTAGGGGGAGATAAAAGCCCAAAATCAAATAAATGCCGAGAAATTTCTTGGAATATACAAAATCTTCAATATTTAGATCAACGCATTAATCAAATTGAATTTGAAGTTCAAACTATAATTAATTTGTAATATTTAACAAACAATTTGCCAGATGCATTTATTGATCATAAAGGAGTGACCAAATCTCATGTACCTTCTATAAATGCACCACAACGAGGGGAAATCCCCATGAAATCTAATATTCCTACAGATGCTCTACGCCAGAAGTGTGGGAAACCTGTTGGTACAAAATACAATAATCCGTGGAATATAAAATCTAATAAAAATATTGAATCACTCCCGAAATCTCCAGAAGAGAATCGTCCAGAAGGCGGAAATCCTAGTCTAAATGCACGTGCAACAAATAATAAAACTACTAGGATCGCGGAACATCTAGGTCAAAATATATTAGGAAATGATAAAGATCTGGTTGATGTAAATATTGAAATAGCTATAAATTTTGTTGATACAGGAGAAACTTATAATAGAAGTAACACAGTTGTCAACGACATATTTGCCTCTATAGTTGCCTTTACCATCTCTAATAATAATCTGGATCCAGAACCTAAATCAATTGCAGAGTGCCGGAAGCACTACGATTGGGTAAGATGGAAAGAGACAATTGAGGCTGAACTAGACTCGCTAAATAAACGAAAAGTTTTTGGCTCTATTGTACGTACACCTCAAAATGTTATCCTAGTAGGATATAAATGGGTGTTCGTACAAAAGAGAAATGAAAATAGTGAGGTGGTGAGATACAAAGCGAGATTAGTTGCCCAAGGGTTTTCGCAGAGACCAGGTATTGATTTTGATCAAACATACTCTCCTGTAATTGATGGAATAACGTTTCGCTATCTATTATCTCTGGCAGTTACTATGAATTTAGATATACAGTTAATGGATGTCGTGACCGCATATTTATATGGGCCATTAGACACAAATATATATATATATATATATATATATATATATGAAAATTCCTGAAGGATTAAAGGTTCCCGAAATAAGGGAAAACGAAACACGCCACATGTATAGCATTAAATTACAAAAATCATTATATGGCTTAAAACAGTCGGGCACAATGTAGTACAACCGACTGAGTGAGTTTCTATTGAAAAATAACTATGTAAATAACGATATGTGCCCATGTGTGTTCATAAATAAGTCAGCAAATGGTTTTTGTATCACAATCTATGTGGATGACATAAATATTATTGGCACACATGAAGAGCTTGATAAAGCTAGCTCATGCCTAAAGACAAAGTTTTTGAAATGAAAGATTTAGGTAACACCAAATATTACCTCGACCTGTAGATCGAGCATCTCTCAGAAGGAGTATTTGTACACCAGTCAACCTACCTGAAGAAGGTTATAGAAAAATTTTACATGGATAAATCTCATCCACTTAGTACACCAATGGTTGTCCGATCCCTTGAAGCGAATAAGAATCCATTTAGACCTAAAGAAGATACCGAAGAAAATTTAAGACCAGAAGTTCCTTATTTAAGCGCCATTGGCGCGTTACTTTATCTTGCAAATTGTACTAGGCCTGATATTGCATTTGTAGTAAACTTGCTAGCAAGGTTTAGTGCTTCTCCTACAAGGAGGCACTAGAATGTAATAAAATATATTTTTAAGTATCTTCAAGGTTCACAAGATTTTGGTTTACTTTATAAGAACAGTCAAGATATGACATTGGTGGGTTATTCGGATGTTGGTTATATGTCTGATCCCCATAATGCTAGATCACAGACTGGTTATGTTTTTCTCTGTGGTGGTATTGCAATCTCTTGGAAGTCGGTCAAGCAGTCCATGGTTACTATATCTTCTGACCACTCAAATATAATTGTTTTATACGAGACTTCACGAGAATGTGTATGGTTAATATCTTTAATCCAACATATTCGTGGGTCATGTGGAATTACAAATGATAGAACCCCCATTGTCTTTTATGAGGACAATGCAGCTTGTGTTTTACAAATGAGTAGTAGGTATGTCAAAGGAAGCATGACAAAACACATTGCTCCAAAATTCTTTTACCCACACAAGCTCCAAAAGAGCGGAGAGATTATTGTACAAAAACTGCAATTTAGCGAGAATTTGACAGATCTATTCACCAAATGTCTTCCTACATCTACTTTGAAAAATACATTTATGGTATTGGTAGGCTATTGTCTTTAAGGAGAGGGACAAACTCAAAATAATTCCCAAGATTAGGTCCTGAAGACCAAGCGATGTACTTTTTTTCCTTAATTAAGTTTTTCTCATTGGATTTATTAATTAAAGGTTTTTAATGAGGCAACTAGTAAAACACATGAATTTTTATAAATCATGTACTCTTTTTTCTTTGACTAATTTTTCCCTTATCGGGTTTTTATTAGCAAGGTTTTTAATGAGGCATGTAGTAATATCCAAAGGGGAGTATTATAAATATATTACGGTGAATGTAGGGTTTTTATTAACAAAGTTTTTAATGAGGCATATAGTAATGTCTAAAGAAAAATGTTATAATCATATTGTCGTGGACATTACTAACACTGGTCAGTAACCTACAAAAATTCTATGGAGCCATCGGATAGTTTTATTATGGAGTCATCTATCACTTAATGTATTGACACTTGTCCAAAGTGTATTTATTACAGGACACGTATCGATACACTATTGGTGAATAAATGTGGATGACTCCATAAGTCAAGCCATCCAATGACTTCATAGCAAAACTTAGTAAACTATTACCATCATTCTTAGTTAGTGGCCACAAGCCCATTACCTTATATGAGGTTATTATGTTAGACTTTGTAAACCCTATGTATCTCTTATACGCATATTAATAAAATACACTTTTCTGCTTCTCTTGTCTCGTTAGTTTCTTTCTCTTTGACCTTTTGATTTAGGTCGCCAACAATTCAGTTACCAAGCTCCCGGACGACATCGTTTGCGAAATCCTCAAGAGGCTTCCTGTTAAATCCCTTTGGAAATTCAAGTGCGTTTGCAGATCATGGCTGTCCTTGATCTCCAGCCGACGATTCATCAAAACCCACCTCATGAATTCAAGAAAAGACCCAACTCTCACCCACCACAGGATTATCCTGCAGTCGCATGACAGTTTCAAGCACATCTCCGCTCGATCCATGTTGTCCGAGCCCGTTATTGATCCCCTTGACGTTGATTTCTTGATTCATCAGAGTAACCTAATCCAGGTCGTAGGCTCTTGTGATGGCCTGCTTTGTCTCGCCAACCAAGAAGGCTTGATTCTGTGGAACCCAACCATGGGAGTTTCCAAACAACTCCCCGATGTGAAATAATCTATCGCTACAGTTCATATACCTATGGTTTTGGTTATGACCAGTCAAACGACGATTACAAGGTGGTCGTCTTTTTCAGAGGTAGTTGGGATTTATCTGACGTGGTAGCGAAAGTCTACAGTTTGAAGACCAATAGATGGAAAGCTGTCGAGGGCTTTAAAGGTCGTTGGGTTATGGATGATCCGGCCACTTTCGCTGATGGGAAACTTTATTGGATTGCGAATCCATATGTGGATAAGGAACATGGACGGAACATTGGTTTTCTTGATTTGTCAACTGAGGAGCATGAAGTTTTGGAGCTGCCGAGTTATGTGAAAAGTAGGTTTTATACTAAGTTGGGAGTACTTGAAGGGCGGATTTTCGTGATGTGCAATCACATCAATCGGGCAGATGTTTGGATTATGGATGATGGTGTGGATGGAAATGGGACGTGGGTGAATGTGGTTACAATCCTAATGATTTTTTGAGGAAGAACTATATAAAGGTGTTGTTCGTGCTCGAGAATGGGGAAGTCATGCTTCTCTGTGGTTTTAAGCTCGTGGTTTTTGATGCAAAGGATTGCTCTTTCAGGTACCCAGAGATTAGAAATTGGAACGTACTTGTTGAGGCCAGCAGTTATTTTGAAAGTTTAGTTTCTCCATTAGGCAATGGTGAATAATATGCTAGTTATAATCTGTACAGATTGTTACCTAGTTCTGTTGGTATTTATTTGTCCACTATGATGGGTAATGTGTTTCTTAGAATGGTGAAGTTCTGTTTGTTTCGTGTGCATAATATATTATAAGATTTTCAATACAAGGCTTGCTTGTTTTGGTTTCCCTTGGTTATGTCCACAGTCTATTTGCTGCACCTTTATATATATATAAAATTGGATTGTGCAAAAATGAGAACAGTGACAAGGGCGCACAGGACAAGAAAGATTGTTCATTCTTTCTCCAGAGTCTGTTTAGCTGAACTGGTTAGCTTTCACTTTTATAGAACCTAAACGAAACCATTACTTGGCAAAATGACAGTGAAGTATCTGTTGTGATTAATGGTTATAATGTGAAACTGTTGTGCCCTTATCATCTACTAATTTACGTTCACCGATAAAACTTCAAATGAGTGGTTGTTCGCCATTGTTTCCCGCTTGTGATTAGGTTCGACCAATTGTTTTGAAGCTCTGGCATAAACCCATAGCATGTAGATTCATTGAGTCGCCAAATGAATCATAGATAACATAACAGCATGCTCATCTTGTGAAAGATGCTGAATCTTTTTCTTTTTTGTTCTTTTTAATCAATGAAAGTATGCAGATTGACCATTGCTGTCTAGTTTCGTTCAACAGCTCCCAGGCATTCATCAAGTCTTTTATTTTCTATCTTTTTTAATTCCGCTATTTCTCGCTACAGTAAACCAAAAAAGTTAAAAAATAAATAAAATTCTAATTCAGAGTCAAAGTTAATAATTTCAACAAAAGCTAAATCACCTCAATCCAAGAGCGAAACAATAGCCAGACAGTTACTCGTCATATTCGTCAGCTTCTCAGCCACACTCGTGAACGGGGACTCGTCTCCAAGCTGTGCCAGCTCATCATTACAATCCCCGACATTGGTTATAACGGCACTCAGCATGCTTTTCATAGTGCCAGTGTCCCTTCTCGGGAAAGCTTCAATTGCGCTCTCGAAATTGTAAACTGCGTCATCATAACTGTCCCTACAGTCCCTGACCGCCGTGCCCATCTCGTTCGGGCTCCCTGGCCCATTCTTCGCCAGGGAAAGCCCAATCCTCGCCAGGGCAAGCCCGGCCCGTATAGAAACTTCTACTACAGTGGGGACATCACAGTTGTCCCCGTGCAGGCGTAGGGCCACGGTGGCCAGGCAGAGTTCCGGGTGGTCAGTCAAGTCGCATGTCTTTCACCTTGGGGCTTACTTCAGAGGCTGGGATTGGGGCAAATGAGAAATCGAATTGGGTTGGGCCATCAGATGCCGCGGGCCCATCTGCATTGGGGGAGGGGGCGTTAGATGGTGATGGGCCGGGCCCGTTGGATACCACAGGCCCGTCTATGTCTGAATCTGCGTTTGGATCTGGGGAGATGGGTTTGGAGGAGTGGGATGGAGAATGGGCAATAGATGGAAATGGGCCGGGCCCGGAGGAAGGGGATGGGGCGAGGTCTTCGGGCCGGGCGAGATGGAGGAATAGGAGGAAAGAGAGGGAGAGGAAGAGTAGCCTTGGGTTGATATGAGCTGCCATNAAGTTTTGGAGGGGGAATGTGTTAAGGCATTATTCAATATGCAGTTTGGGAATGAAAATAGGATTACCCCAAGCTTCCCTTTTTTTTGCCCTTCATTTTTTGGTCATGTTTTTTGGCTGTTTTTACGGAGTTCTGGGAGTGGTGAGGAATTTGTTGTCAACAAGAATCGTACATTTGTACTTTTGATTATTTATTTATTTTTTTCTTTGAATAGTTAGGAGGTCATCGTTTAATTAGTTTCTCTCTCGGCTTGAGGATACTAATATTTGAATTTTATTTCTTATTTTTACCAGGCACATGTAACATAAATGTATAGTACATGTACATCTGAATTTTAAAAAGAACCAATCATTTTGTGCTGATTTTCTTTCGTAATGCGAACTTTGTTTATCATCTAGAGTTAAAAATTATCTAATGGTTTCATCCCCCCAACAGACCAATTGCCACTTTTTATTATGATCAGGAAGGGTCATTCTTATAATATGCTTAAAGGACTAGTTTGGCACGTTTATACGTTCAGTTTGTTGTACATTGTACATTGTAGTCATACTCACTTATAATCATCCATTTACACAGTATTACTCCATCAATCATATTGGCACAATACCAAAATTGTTCTATCAATAATCAAATTAATCAAACCTCAACTTCTAAAATAGCAATAAATTTTGATCTGCCAATACCAATAATCACATTTGATTCTAAAAACAACATAATTCCGGCCTCGTGTTTTGTTTTATTCAACCTTAACTTCTGATTAAACAGTCGTTTAGTTTCATTCTTACAACAAGAATCCTTCGATGATATGGCACACATACAATAACAAACTTATAGAAATCAAATCACACACAACACAACACAATTATTCACTACTTAACAAGTCTAGAGCCCTCAAAAGATGAGGAACTTCAGCAAACACAACAAGAATAAGCTCCACCAGAAAAAAGCACCATGTTTAGTCATGGCTCTTCACCACAGTAACGGGACATGGAGCATGAGCCACCACAAAGTTGCTAACACTACCCATAATAGCCCTGCAAAATCATTAACAAACAGACACACTATTATTGATCAGCAGATCCAATAAGTGCCCGACAACTTGTTTTCGGATAATATAAGGTATACAACAAATCATTATACAAATTGTCCAGACATATGAGGAAGCAGATCAGCGTATTTAACAGTAATAGTTTCATATCTCGATAGTTGTAAGGAGCATATGTGTACATTGTACCACCAAAATGCTTCATTTTTAATTCTGAATGATAGTTCAGACTGCTAACATGATCAAAAGCTTCTGGGTCCCTTAATTCTACTATCCTATTGTCAATCTAGATACAGAGCAGGATATGAAACGAGTTAAAACAAACCTCTTGAGTTTGCCAAGGCCTCTATTGCCGATGATCAGGCAGTCGAGGGGAATTTTATCAATTGATTCACATATCTTTTCTCGAGCATCCCCCCAGAATATTTTCAAGAGCACAGTGATCTGCTTTTCAGGCTCAATCGCAAGTCGTCATTAAACGATATTAATGGTAAAATTTGATATATTATCATTGTTATCCACAACTAGGATAATTTACAGAAGGTGCCCTTGAGGTTTGACATAGTTACCAGATTACGAATTACAAAAAACATCCCTGAAGATTTATTTTACCTCACATTTACCCTATATGCAAAAGATATTTACATAAAAAATTAAGGTTAAGTTTTTAATTTAACACTTAATCAAACATTTGAACTTCAAAGAAACTTTTCATAATTTTGAATGTTAGCTTTTTCCATGATTAGGCCAACCTCAAGGTTACCTTTTGTAAGTAACTCCAAGCAAATAGAAAGAAAAACAAAAGTACCTCTTTCTGCCTCGATGCAGTGTTCACGATATCCAATGTTTCCGGATCAGGTTGGACACCATATTTCTTCATGAGTTGGAGGTTCGAGAAATCGGATAAGGGAATCAAAGCTGATGACATGGCAAAATACCGATAGATTAAGAAGGAAGAGAACAGAACAGAACAGACCATATATCTGAAATAAATTTTAAGTGTAAAATGTCTAGAAGGAGTAAAGCTCAAAACAATACTAGTATTCAAAATCATGTCTTTAGATTCAACTATGAAATCACAAGCAAAAATCCAACATATCCTGTGGCGATTTTACTCAAACGAAGCAAGAGATTGACTTAGAATCACAAAACAATAAATTCCCCTAATTAGCTTTGTTGTAAATAAGTTTGTAATAATATTTTCTTGGACCAAATATTGACTTCCATCCCTGGTAAATCTCATGAAATCAACTACCATTTGCAGGACATACTCCACAGGAGAGACCAAACAGAACAAGTGAAAAAATGCTTATACCATACCATAACAATTAAAAAAGGTGATTATACTCATTAGATTAAATTCCCTATCAGCAGGAAATGATCAATAGCCCACCACTTTACCAGCTCTTGATAAATTATGTACGTTTCCTTAAACACCTCCAAAAAAATAAATAAATAAATAAATTAATTAATGGATAACATCTCCACACAGGTTTGCTCTAAATTCACATACACCCCAAGCCCAAAGTTAGAAATTGAAAAAAAAGAAGACTAAATTAAAAGAGAATACACATTACAAAAGAAGGGAAAAGAAGGGCGATGTGAGGTGCATACGAGAACCGGTGGTCTCCCAAAGCTGCATCTCGCCGGATTCGTAGTAGCCCTCGGGCTGTACGGTGACGAGAATCAGGTGATCGCCGCTCCGCGCGACGTTATCCACCGCCCACCTCAAGGCTTTCCTGCTGCACGGCGAGAAATCCACCGCCACACCTACTCTCCTGCAATCTCCCATTATTGCTCTTTCTCGCACGTTTCTCTCTCTACAATTATGATGGAGATTAATGTTTGTCTTTTTTATTTTTTATTTTTGGCTATTTTAGTCCGAAAATGACGAGAAATGAGGGGCTGTTATCATTGTTAGGCATGTTTNAAAATGAAGTGGACAAAAAAGAAAGAAAAAAAAATCAAGTCGACCAAAATAGAAAGCCCGTATTTAATAAATACGTTTTCCATTGTAAACCGTATTTAGTAAATACGGTTTTCACTATAAAACGTATTAAGTGAATACGTTTTCAATAAACAAATATTACGAAAGTTAAATAACGTAATTAACATAATTAAACTGCAGAAAAACGTATTTCCTAAATACGTCTTATGTTTCAAAATTACCAAACGTATTTCTTTAATACGTTTTTATGTTAAAATTAATTTAATTTTATTTTTGTAATTATAAAACGTATTTAACTAATACGTTTTATAAATAAAATCAATTTTTTCATTTTGTGAAAATAATTTAATTTGGGGAAAAAAATTTGGAACATAAAACGTATTTACTAAATACGTTTTCCTTTGTAATTTTGCCCCAAATTGATTACATTTGCCCTAATTTTAATGTCAACGGAAAACGTATTTACGAAATACGTTTTCTAATTAAAAAGAATAGAATGGAAAACGTATTTAAGAAATACGTTTTCTGTATTAAAAATATATAAAATCCTGTTCACTATGAAATGCACCTGTTTACAACCAAAAAATACACCTGTTCACAACAAAAAAATATACCTGCTCACAACAAAATCCATCATACCATAATTCTTCGAACAAACAAATGAAACACAATAATTTGCCGAACAAACAATATATACAAAACGATATAATTCGGTTTATACATACAATCCAACAATTCAAAATAAACACAAAATCAACAAATTCAACACAACTAGCTAGGAAGGAGTGAATGGTTGTGTAGGTTTGCGCGGTCTAGACCCCCTCCTCCGAGTATATACCACGTGTGAAGAAGACGAAGGTGCAGGTGTGAGAAGCGTGTCAGTTTGAAAAGCCTGCTCATCTTCCTCTTCTTCATCTGAGTAATTCAATTGAAAAAAGAAATTATAAATTGAACTATAAAAAAAAAA